ACCCGCCCTTGGAGAGGTCACTTCAGCAAACACGATGAGGGGCAGTTTACCGGTCCAAAAACCCCGCTGGATGAATGTAGGAGCGGGGTTCAGTTTCAGTTTGTACAACTATTAACCACGCATATTCGTGCGCCGGTTTTGGTTGCTGTCTTTTGGTTGGATGAATAATAGGAGAAGAAAGGAAAGTTGAAAGTGGAGTCGAACAGAAAATGAAGAAGTTCAGTGGTCTAAGGTTGCAAAGAAATTGAGAAGATGCACGAACGCCACTGTTTGCGACATCCATTCATATCACTCAATGTCTCTAACCATCGGTTATGATCATCCCGAGGTCCCCAGCCAGGGAGCCTAACAGGATCTATGCGCGGTACGGTGTGCGGTTGTCTACTTTTTCTCTCTCTCTTATGTAACTTGGAATAAAGTTTGGATTAGCCCATTCGATTGTATAGAGGCATCAGGCACTGTTGATGGTTCTGGATGTGGGTTTCATTCCTTGGGCGATTAAATGTTCGCGGTTTGAGTCTTGACAGAGACACAAAAAGTACGCACTACTGACGAGTTCCAAGCAGAAGGAAACAGGTGTCCAGTGCTCTTTTTTAATCGTTACAAATATTTCCATCGCGTGTAGAATGAAGTGATTTTCACCAATGTGGTGGTTATTCATCCGGTCTCAAATAGATCGCTGTCGCAAAGCTGTCCGGCGTGTTCAGCTTGCAAATACTAGAACGTTGTTGAATTAAATAACTCTGAAGTGATTCTGATTCTTTGGAATGATTTAACGAATTTTGACAACTCTTTAGCCCAATTTGTAAAACAAATCAAATCCTCAAGGGTCGCTGAATCGGTTGACAATTAAGGCTCATTGTGGCATGTCCTTTGCACCTTCAAAGTGCAAAATGTCTTCGTGAAATTGACAGGAACCCGTTCCTGCACTTTCATTGGGTAACCGCAATGTGAACATAATCTGAAGCTTTGTCTACCTCAGGAGTTGCATTACGACTGGTGGTGAGGGCGAAACTCTTTCAACGTGTAATCAAAGCAAAATAAGCTTTTGCTAATCTGCGGTATTTCCGGTACCGGGGTGACATTATCCTTTTACTGAAAGGGTATATGTATTGCTCAATGATACGCGCCGTGTTGCCTTATGACTGCGAAATCTGGCCTCTTTGAGCAGATCATGTTCAACAACTATCCGTCTTAGATAACCTTTGTCTGCGTAACATCGTCCGCGTATGGTGGGAGCATCCTGTGAATAACGATGCGGTCAGATGATGGGTGCTAGGAACCGTTGAGCATTGTCTTAGATGACTGGGACACATCTACGAATACCTGAGTAAAGTCCGTCATATCGTGCACCATTTGCAGGCATTGGTCTGGGTTGGAAGAAACAGCGAGGTAGGCAGGCATAGAGGCTCAAAGAGCCTGTGCTTGGATATGGCTTCCGTCGGGGCTTCCGGCTTCCCGACTGTGGCCCTAAATATTGAGATTATCTTTGGCTAGAAACACTGTAGGATATGGTATGGAACCGAAGCCAGTGGCGTGAATGCATCCCTTTCTGTGCACAATCCCCAAACAGAAAGGTCAAAATGGGGTTCAGTAAACAAACAAATAAAAAAAATTGTTATTCCTGAAGTTGACTTTTTTTGTTTTCCCCTTTCGGTTATGTTTTACATTGAACCCATGGTTATTTTGGTGAAGTATCTCTAAAG